TCTTTGTGAGTGTGAGCGTTGCATTTGATTCCAGAGCATTAACTTGTTGAACCATTATGTGTGAATATGGAATTATTCCTTGTGTGAGCGCATTTGAACACTTTTGTTGAGCTTGAACTTGCATTTGAAGCAAGTATTGTGAGCTTGAGATTCTTTGGAAATGATGAGTCACAACTTGAATCTTTGAGTGCACAATTGATCCTTTCATGAGTAGTTGAGTCTTTTTGTGTGCATTCATGATTGAGTCTTGTGTAGCACTGTTTGAGACATCCTTTTTGAACTGCTGAACTTGAGTTATACTTTAGGACAAGCAAAAGTTTAAGTTGGGGGTGTTGATAAGTCCATAATTTGGATTCATTGATGGCTTTATTTTAATATATTTAGTGTCCTCAACTGCATATTTTGTACCAATAACTGATGTAAATCCTTGAATTTCAGGTATTTGGACTTTGGGACAAAGCATGGACACTATTGAGCAAAATTGAACAAGGCAGTTGAAAGAATGAAGAAAAGAAGGCCTGAGGATCGCCTAAACCATTAGGCGAGTTGCCAAACGGCCTTGGTCTCGCCTAATGTTCCAGTGTGCCAACCCCTGAAGGAGAAAATCAAGTCAGCGATAGAAAAAAGCACTCGACGAGTCGTCGAACGGTTCCGCGATGCAGTGCTAGATCGCCCAAAGTTACAGAACTCGAAGATGCTGAAGGCTAAAGCATAAAGGCGATGGAATTGGCCAAAGGGCGGATTGTCGAGTGGATCGGCGATCCCGACTAACTGCGCTGACTGGTCCTTCGCAGCATAATTTTCGGCAACTATAAATACTTGTTTGAATTTTTAGTATAGTATGAAATTTTGGATTGAATTTTATCAGATTTTAGAATTATTCAATATTATTCAGCTTTTGAAGTAGAGTCTTAGAACTTAGTTTTGAGAGACAATATTTTTCCTTAGCTTTGAAGATTTGAAGATTTCCATTTCTAAGAAATTGGAAGTGGGTGTTGAAGATTCTTCATCTTAGACATTTGTAAAGACAATATTAATCGTACCAGTTGATGGAAACACAATTTGGTAACGATTTTTACCTTTTTACTATGTCTAGCTAAAATCTCAATTCTTGGGGTGTGATTATGAGTTGATTTAACTGTTGGGTATTGTTAATTGATAGTTTATTTGTTGTTTAAAAGTGCTTTTGTTCAGTAATTGTGGTTGAATTTAATGGGTTGTAATTGCATATACAATCTTAACTTCGTGGTTTTAGCTTGCGAGAGAGAGGTTTTAAAACCAAGATTACTGAATTGATGATCTGTGGGTATTGGGTTGTCATGGGTTCAGATCAAGAGAGTGAATCCTAAACCATTTTCCACACATTCAGCTCGAGAGAGTGAATGGGCAAAAGTGAAGGTTGTTCTTAATTGCTGCTTATTGGTGTTCGAGAGAAACCAATTTGATTCGGGGTAAATTGTTCGAGAGAAAGTTTACTTCCACTAAAGTCTAGCTTAGTCATTGATTTACAATAAATTTACTATCAGTTGCAATTACCCAGTTGTCTACCTTAGCCCATAATCCTATCACATCCCAAGAATCCCGTCTCCATATTCGTATTTCCATATTATTTGGTGTTTTAGTTGATAATTAACTACAAAAACCCCCACTTGATATTGACACTTATGTTACCCCCAAACTTGAATTATGTTTTTAGATATGATTGATTTGAGCATGTTTTTACTTTTCTATTGATTCTCGATTATAAACCACTCTCTTGGGACTCGATTCGAACTCACTAGTTGGGTAATATTACTACTGAACGATCGCTGGCATTTAGTATTGGATGTAGTGACTTTGATAGCGTTCTTATCACCACTCCATTCTCTCCAAACCCTATCTCGCTGTTCAGATTTTCAAGAAGATGAAGCGCCTTCGACTTTGCCCTACCATCATTACTTTCAATACTTTGATTAGTGCTTTGGTTAAGTACCCTTCTAATCACTCTCTATTTTTATGTAATGATCTGTATAACGATGCACTTAAGCTTGGTTTGGTGCCAACTACAATTACTATCAATATTTTGATTAAAGGGTATTGTTTAGTTTACAAGTATAAGGATGCTAATCAATTGCTGAATAAAATGAGTGAGTTTGGATATGTGCCGGATAATGTAACTTATAATACTATATTGGATGGGTTGTGTGAGAAAGGTAGGTTGAATGAGGTTAGGGATTTGTTGTTGGCTATGAAAGGTAAATGTCTTGTGCCGAATAGGAATACATATAGTATTTTGGTATATTGTTATTGTAAATTGGGTGGTTGAAGTATGTTGCTTAGATTGTCGAGCTAATGACGCAGAACAATATTTTGCCTGATGTTTGGACTTATAATATGTTGATTGGTGGTCTGTGTAATAATGGAAGGATTAATTATGCGATTAGGATTCGAGTTAATTTGAGAGAGTCTAGGCATTGGGTTTAAAATGGGGAATGAATCGTTTTAAAAATCCGAGTTAATTTGAGTCAATTTGGGGATTTCTGTCAATTGAGGAGTACAAATTAGTACGGCATGGGTAAGATTTTCTACAATGCGAAAGCATCTGCGCAATATCCTTATCTAATGACAAGAGAAGCAACGCAATTGCATTGAATTCAATGAGTTTGGTAGTCGATTCATAATAACCAAAGAACAAGAACAAAAAACCATATTAAGAGGCCTTGATGCTCAAAATCCAACATTTCTTTTGAAAAAGACATAGTTATCACTCTCCCCGCTTCTCTTGGTCCACCACCTGATTTCGTGCTCCATTAGTTATATCCATCGTCGATCATTCACACATGTGTTTATATTATCGCATATTTATATTAAATTTGGATAGGTTATCATGTTATTTGATATTTGAAAGTGAAAATAGTAAGTGCGTGTTTTCTCCGCATTAATCACTTCTAAATTTGACAATATAGAAGTGAAAAGGCCCCGTGCGTTATTAACTGATTTCGACTGTGCTATTTGTTGTGTTTATTTAATTTTTGAGCAAAGGCTGAAATCGTTGTTATCCTAATTATAGGTTGACTGCAAATTTTAGGTTGCATTTAGGTATGTTGCTTTGGTATTAATGGTAGCAAATCAAATATTGTCTGGAATGGTTCTGGGAGAATATTTATAAGTAATTTCCGGTGTATATAAATACATGCACAAAAATATTATTAATTTTGAATTCTTATTTTTTGTTCTGGTATACTATTTATTTTTAGTGCATATTCTTAAAAGTAAGCGTATAAATTCACATAATAATATTATTGTTTATAGGCATAATGATTAGTTCTAGTCAATAAGAGGTTAGACATTTGTTTGCAATACATCACATTGGATGTTGATTTAAAAAAAAATTATTTATTAATTATTAATTCAAAGTTCTAAAATATTCTTGATAAAAAGTAAGTAGTTCTTTTTTTTATATATAATATTCAATATTGTTTTAAGTGAAATTAAAATAAAAAAATTCACTACTAAAATTTTTTTGGGTCTCAAAATTTTGGGAGTCTAAAGCAGACGCTTTACAAGCTTTACCCTTGAGCCACCTCTAAATCTCTGCTATTTTTGGAGGAATTAGATGGTAAGAGTGCTGCAAGAAATTGAAAACAGGCTTTAATTGGTATGTATGTGAAAAAGTATCACTTATAGCCTTGTGTATATATATAGTTTTGTGACAAGCTAGATAAAATTAATGAACAACCAACACAACAAATATTGTAGAGGTAGTATGCCAATCCATTGAATTGTGGTCTTTTTTTTTGTGTCTAAAGTCTTAAATTTCTCTTTCACATAAACATGAAGCTTTTTTTAAGAAAAATTTTATAGGTAATAATTTCAGTCATGGGAAAATCCTCCCTTACTCAAGCAGTATATCTCAACATGAATAATTTTTATTCCAAACACAGTAAAATTCAATTAGATATCAAGATTATGTATATGTTCAGAACTTTCTGTAATTGTGTTACTGAAAAAGTATGAATTTGAAGCTGCCACAGTCTAGAATGATCAGAAAAGAGACATTCTAGAAAAGAAAATAAAACATATATTTAGAAAAAGAATCTTAAGTGTTTCATGCTAACTCTCACAAACGAGAATAGGAATGTTCAAATGATAAATACCCTCCACTTCCAATTCTAAGGTTGTAGGTTCGGGTCAACCAGGAATAAAATAAAGAAAGCTCATAGGGAGGGGGTTAAAAAAAGGGATAAAAACACTTGTACCCTAAAAAGAGAAATTATTTACAAATGGTTATCCCTTACTTTCATACCCCATATTTTTAATTGTTATTGCGCTTTTACTGCTTGATACCATCAGAGTATATATATATATATACTATGATACATATACTCTGATTGTATCAAGAGGAAGAAATAATGTTTTAGTGAAAATACTACTCAGTTATTTAATTGTTGCTTGATTCAGTCAGAGTATATATATACTCTGATGGCATAAAATATGAAGAAACAGTGGTTCAGTGAATAGAACAAGAAGACACTCAAGTAATAGTTTGGACTGTGAGTCCAATTAGGGTAAATGTATTGAGTTAGGTCCGATATGAGTAAATACTTTGCCTAATTAGTTCAATTTGGGTAGTTTTCCTTAAAAAAAATGAAAAGGAACTTGTGCAAATCATATAAGAATCGCTAGCTTGAATCTTGGCCCATTTTAGTGAATTGACCCACAAATATTCTAATTTAACACAATTTACTTATTTTTTGTTGTTGTTAACACACCTAAGTTATTATTAGTATTCCCAAATATAAAGCTTGAAGGAGAGAGGGGAGCATAACAATGGTGGATGAAACAATGTCCGAACAACAAAAGAAACGAACAATGGAGGCATTAGAGCGAAGATTCACTCAAGCAAAAGCTGAAATTCATCAACAACAACACAAGAACAAGAAAATCGGTGTTACGACAAAAACTCTAGCTGAAAACAACATTGGACTCACCTCCCAGCGTATCAATTGCCTTCACTGCTCAAATCAACGACACCTTCCTCAGCTCCGTCATCCAAAAAAGGTTCCATCTTTTATCTTTTCCTCTTTGTTTCACTTGTTTTTAATATATATCAATCAACTATGCTGGCGGAGTTAGAGTTTTCAATGAAGGGTGAACAATATGAAGAATTAGGCCAAGGGGATAAAAAATGATTTTAGCTTTAATTGTATATACAGGGTAATTTACTGTGAATTCGACGCATTTTGTATTTTATGCCTGGATATTAAATTACTGCAAACCTTCTCCTTGATCTGCACTTTAGGTGGAATTATGTTCCAATTTTTTTATGAATTTTATGTTTTCTCTTTTTTCTTAAACGAATTTCAAGTTTAACTGTAACAGTAATTGATACTATCTTTATCTGGGATTAGCTAAAACTGGTTTCTGGTCTTTGTTCTCAAATGAAATACTAGATACTTTCCACTGTTTCAATAAGTGGCACTATTGCTATATGATGCTCGTTTTTTTATTTCGCTATGACTTTCTCAAAGGATATCTCAAGTTATTGTGATTTATAGATTATTAGTTTTTTAAAATTTAATCCAGCACAATGCTTGCATCTGTTCACTATCTTAGATGACAAAGTAGTTTTCCAAGTTTGAATTAAAGGTTCAAACTTATTCACCAAATTCAATTTTCTGTGCAATATGTTTTGAATGCTCAACTTCTATAATTGAAGCCAATTCATATCCTTCTGTGATTCAAATAGGGTGAATACCACGTTCTAACAACTTCTCCGCTTGTTCTAGAACTGACTTTGCTTCAATAGTTCTGTCACCAACTTTGTTATGTTGACTCTGCGCCAACTCAACCATCATATTTGCAATTTGATTGTTGACATCCATCTGTTCCAACATGGTTGCACCATCATTTCTGATAGCGACATTGCCGTCAGGGTTCTGAAGCATATTTACTATGCCCTTTTTTTATTTTTAAAATAAAGCATGTTGACTATGCCCTTAATACCAAATACCAAGAGAAGTAGAGAGAGTGGGAGCTATGACTTTTTCAAAAGAAATGTTGGCCTTTTGAGCATCAACACCACTTAATATGGTTTTCTATTTTTTTTCCCCTTGGTTATTATGAATGGACTACCAAACTCATTGAATGTCAATGCCATTGCGCTACTTCTCTAGCCACTAGATAAGGAAATTGCACAGATGTTTTGCATTGTAGAAAATGTTGAAGACAATGCAATAAAGTCTAGAGTGAATTTGTAGTCTAGAAGTTTTAAGAGCCCTTAATTCAATGCTAAACCGTGTATTTTTTTTCTGATATTCTCTTTGATTTATCTGCAAACTTTTGGCATCCAAAAGAAGTGTAACAGTTGGCGATTTCTAGTAATGTAAGTAAACCATTTTGATGTGATCCCTCTTGATTTCATTCTTCAAGAAATAAAAATAAAATGAACCCTTATTGATTTATCTCATCCAAATATTTTCCTGGTTTATTTGTAGGCCATATGTCTTTTTCTGGCCATACATCTGCTCAAGGTACAACCTTTCCTCTGTATGCTTCTCTTGAATTTTATCCATAGAAAGGTATACATGTGACTAAAATCCAGGATGCTAAATTTTGTCCTGTCACGTAGATGTTGAACTGAATAATCCAGCATACATTCAGTAGATGATAATCTTCTGAAAATTACCACTGAGGCAAGAATAAACGTGATCAATATAATGCTTCAAGTATGCTCACTATTAATTAGTAACTTCTTCATTACTCATCCCATTTGCTTGTTGCAGATTTCTTGTAAAAACATGACTGCTAATGATATTTTGCACGATCTTCTCCAACATGGTGATTCAGCTCAGAAATATATTCAGGGGTCAAAAAATGTGAAAGTTGATAACTGGATTCTTCTTGATAATGTTGTGCAAAAGAGCAGCATTGCTACTGGAGCTCGTAGTCGGGCTTTGCAGAGACAGTCAAAGAGATCTAAAAGACATGTCCATAAAGCAACATAAGAAGTTTGGATCATTCGATTTCCATCAAGAGTCCCACAAGTGAGTTCTGCCTACTTTTTTGTGTAAAAGAGTTAGATTGCCTTTTTAAAACTTTCTGCCATTCTCTGTGAGGAATTATGTGTAGCTTTTAATCTTGCTAAGTGCACTGCGGGTTTTTCTCTTCTGTTTGACTAGATGAGTCTTACTATGTCGGAAGTTGAATGTTGAAGTCTAATGGTGGTTTGTAGATTCAATTGTGGTGTGATTATTTATTAAGAGTCATCATAAGAAAAGGTCATCTTCTAAGAATAATTCACGCATTTTTTTTCGTCGAAAAAGAAATTGGTTTGAATTATTCTCAGAAAGATGACCTTTTCATGTGATGATCTTGATTAAGAGATTAACTGCTACACTGAATCTCATGTGGCATGTGATACCTGTCGTCCTTTATCTATTGTGGTTATTTTTTAAATATCGTGAAAGGTATTTTATTGAATGACCAGCAACCAGAAGGTGCTATGAGTATTTACGAGTAGCAGTATTGCATACTGTGTAATGATCTAAAAAATCTATCATGGCCTCCATATCATTTGATCTGATGTGGTAATTATCTACACAGTTATCCTTGAGAGGACAAAAGATGAATAGGCTGCTATTTCTTCTCCCCTATGTTGTTTATGGTAGATATTGCTTATCTAGAAAGTCAAGGCCCAAAATGAATATCTTACACTGTGTGGTTCTGCTGCATAAAATTCAATTGCCAAATGATCAAATTCATCTGTCTGCTTATTTGACTTTTTAGCTATGTTGTTCATCTAGTATTCTAGGAATAGGGTTACTTGTTAGATGCTTCACCTTGATCAGCAGTGAAAAATATAATTTTTTCTAGGGCTTGCGTACTGCGGGATCAGATAGAGCCAAATATTCCTAGATACTTACAGTTGATGATTACCGCATGGATATTATCTCCTTTCACTTTTATATGCATCTCTTGTTCTGAAAACTCTTTTATGGCTTGTTCTGCAGCTATGACATATTCAAGCCAATGCATGATAAGTGGAAAGACTACGTGAAAAAACTCGTAAAGAATATTAGGTTGGCGTTTTGTTTCATCACTTCTTTAATGGTTTAGTCTTTTTAAAATAGGCCTTTTCTCTAGTGATTCTGATAAACAATTGACATGTATTCTCTCACCTGCAGTATTGGTCTTGCAGGAAAAATCAGTTATCACAATGTCTTCTTAATGCAGCCTTACATGGTGCACTTATTCTAGGTGAAGTATTAACTACCTCTCCTCCTCTTTAACTCTTTTAGGTAGACCTTTCAAAATTATTACAAGAAAATGCTATACTATTACTCGCTGATTCTTTCCTGTCATTAATGTTTTATAAGGATCTAAGCATTTTTTTTTGTGATGAGCTAAATTATGACAAGGGGTTATCTTTATCTAAAGCCTGAATATAGAATTTTGATAGATAAAATTTTCACTGTTTAGCTCTTGCACAGTGTGGCACATACACACAGATAATACAACTCTTTGTTTCTGAAACATCGTGACATTTATTGCTTGCAGTTGTTCAGTGCACTATAGGAGGCTTTATTGGTGTACGTGGTATCATGATTTGTGAGACCGTAGAAACACTTGGAATAATTACAGAAGACAACAAATTCCAAGGTTTGTCCTGTTCAACTTAGATTTCATCGGCTACAATTTGAACATACATGTAGCAAATATATGTCCATTGCAGTCTACTTTCAGTAGCCTTGATACCGGAGTAGAACAAATATGATGCTTGCTGCTTTTATCTTCTCTTTATTTTTCTTTTGAATTCTTGGTTGATTAATATCTGTTTGTGCCACTCACCTTGATGAGCAATGAATTATACCACAAATTGAGGCAGTATTTTCTAGTTTTGTTAGTTTTCATTTCTACACGTGCCATTCACATCCTTAGCTTTAAAATGTTGTATATCAATTTTGAATCCAAAGTAAATTGGAACCTCAGCCATTTTTCTAGTCATCCTTTCCGCCCCCCTTCTGGGAACTGTACCTCTGTGTAGGCTCATTTAGTAAATACTCTCTCCAAGTCCAATCTTATCCTTATTTCAGCTATTCTTAGTTCTTCCATTTTCCACTGTGCTGTGAGTTGGCACCCATGCTGTCATTGCAACCTGAAACTTTTACTTGATGCACCTTGTTTGTAATTTGGAAAAACTGCTTCTCTTCTATGTTGCTCGGACTCTCCAAAATGCTACAGCTCGTGTCGGATCTAACACGCTCCCGCACTTGGCGACATTTTTTAAGAGTCCGAGCAGCATAGGTTCTCTTTCCCTTGTCAATTTGTGCCAAGAGGGAGAGAAGGGGATGGGGAAAGAATGCAGAAGACCAGTTATTGTTAATACTTATATTTTTTCACTGCCTTTTCTCATCTTTTTGCTTATCCAAATTGCAGTTGTACCGAAAAAACTTTCTGTATTTATGCTACAAGTGGATTGCTGGAAAGTTACATTGCTTGGAGACAAACTCATTTCAAGAAACATGACTACATGATATTGTTAACTCTCAACGGAGGTTCTTTCTAGAGCTCTTAATTCCTTATTTGATGATCCCCAATTTATAGGATATGGGATGCCTAAGTGGAGTGCTAATCTGAATCATTTAGCATGCGCAAATGACACAATTATTTTTTGTTCAACCCATGATTATTCTTTGGGGAAAATCATGGTTGTCTTGCAGGATTATGAGAAGCAATCTGGACAAAAAGTGAACAAAGAGGAGCTTTTACTATTTGCACCATAATGTAGGAGTTGGTATTTCACTTCAAGTGGAACAATGTACGGGAATGAGTAGAGGTTCTTTTCCTTTGAAATATTTGGGGTGTCCTATCACTCACTTGAGAAAAAGGAAAGAACACTACATTGATCTGTTTGATAGAGTAAGAGGGAAACTTCAAGCATGGAAAGGAAAGATGCCTTCATTCGGTGGTAAAGAAGTTCTTCTCACTAGTGTTCTTCAAAGCATCCCTATTTATGTTCTTTCTGCTATCACACCTCCTAAATGTGTTATTAAGGAATTGCACAAGATCTTTGCTAATTTTTTTTGGAGTAATAAGGAATCAGGTGAAGTAAGCATTGGGTTGAATGGATTAAGGTTTGTTTGCCAAAACAGGAAGGGGGTCTAGGTTTTAGATCTATGTTTGATGTTTCTCAGACAATGTACGCTAAACTCTGGTGGAGATTTAGGACACAAAATTCTTTGTGGTCTAACTTCGTATGGAATAAGTATTGTAAGAAACGAATTCCTACTTCGGTACAATGTAAAGGGGGTTCTCAGGTTTGGAAATACATGTTGAAGAATAGGGGGCGCTTAGAACAATTCTTGTGGTGGGAACCTAAAGGAGGTACTTCTAATAAGTGGTATGACAACTGGACCAATCTTGGTCCCTTATACTTGCGCCAGTCTGATGTGCACACTTGTCACCCTATGCGAGGCATTGGAGAGATCTTAACAGAAGAGGGTTGGAATGCTTGTTGCGTTAGAAGCTGCCTTACCTGAGTATGTTGTGGAGCATATCAGAATTAACTTTTTATATGTGCAGCTAGGCGAAGAAGCAGATAAGCCTTGCTGGACTAAGTCTAGTAGAGGAAATTTTCGTGTTAAAAGTGCCTGGGAGTTATTGAGACAAAAGGCGGACATGAATGAAGATTTGAATCTCTTATGGATTAAGGGATTACCATTTAAACTCTCCTATCTAGCTTGGAGAATTTGGAATGGTAAAGTTCCTGTTGCAAGTTTAATGCACTCTTGGAATCCTACCATTTCTCAGGATTGCATGTGTTGTTCTATTCCGGTGGAGGAGACTATTGAGCACCTTTTCCTAAAAAGTGAGGTAGCTTTCAGAATCTGGGATCATTATTCTAGAGTTGCTGGTCTCTTAGGTCCTATGATTAATCTGAAACAGACTCTGAGAAGGTGGTGGTCTTCTAATAGTAGTTACAGAATTCAAGTGGTTTTTCAGGTTGTGGCCATTGTCATTTTGTGGTGCTTGTGGAAGAGAAGGAACACTATTTTACATGGTGGCTCATTCTCAGAAAGAAAGGTCATTTGGGAGATTAATGACATTATTCTGAAGGCGATTAAAACAAGGTTCAAAAGAGATATAGGAAGGAACGGTCGGATATCATTACTGATTTACAGGGGCATAGAAATAACTGTAGCATTAACAGTGTGAGATGGATCCCTCCCCCTACTAATTGGGTGAAATGCAATACAGATGGTACATCTAGGGGTAATCCAGGACCTAGCTCTGCGGCCTTTTGCATAAGAGATTACTCTGGTTCATTAATGGTGGCTAAAGGATTCAAGATACAAGATACCTCTAATTTGGTAGCTGAAGCTAGAGCTATTAGAGAAGGATTTTTTTTTGAAGGAGCATCATTTATCACATGTCATTATTGAAACTGATTCTATGGCCATGGTACAGATCTTGGAAGGGAGGTGGGATGTCCCTTGGAGTGTGACACTAGAGGTCAATTCCATAAGCTATTTGAGGAGATCATTATCAGCGAGAGTACAACATATCTTTCGAGAAGGAAATACTCTAGCTGATTATTTTGCTAACCTATTTTTTGATCTTGCATGTGATTATCAATTTAGCCATTTCCAAGACATTCCTATGGAAGGGTGGAGAATTCTAAACTTGGACAAGAGTGGCACTCCTCACATTAGAAGAAGACTAGTAGATTGAATCAATGCATTGATAACATATTTATGCAGATTACAAGTTCTGGTAGAAATAAAAGGGAGTTGGTTGTTAGTATCTAAATTCGTTAACTATTGTCTGAAGTAATTTCGTAATGGTTTGAGTATTTGCACCTGGTGAGAGCATTGAGGTGTTCGCCTAATACCAAATCAGGACATTAGTTTTGATGGAAGGTAAGCTGCTGACTCCAATTTTTCTTTGTAATCTGCACAAGTTCATATGATTTTCAGCTACTAAAAGTTGTGACTTTCTCACCCAATCTTTGATCTCAGATGGTGGTATTAGTCTCTTGAGACTCAACCCATCGGGATCTAGAAAGGGAAAGAAATCATGATTGATAGTAGCAAAACACAATTTTCTCAGCTTATGGTCGGAATTAAGGGTCTCATGGCATACTTACATAAGCTACATCAAGGATACATTTATAAGTTTGAGAAATAGAGAGGATGATACATATGAAACGAAAAGTTGGATACAATACTTGGTCTAACTTGGCAATAAATCAGATCTCTGAGAATTGGGGGCTGACATGATATTGCAGTGCTTTGCTGTACCTCAAATACCAGAAGTAATAATCTTGAAGAATTCCGAGAGCTCACACCTCCAATGGGGTTCCATTTGGATGTGCTGAGGTTGGAAGGAACCAACAAGGAGAGCACAGATCTGGTGGAACATTACCAGACATTTCTTATTGTGTCTTTTCTTATTTCTTTCCTTTTCTTTAGTTTTATATTTCTTCTTATGTTTTTTTCTGTTGGATTTTGGGCAGTTATAATTATCTGCTTTACATTAATGAAAAAATGGGCCGTTGAGCCCTCTTTAATTAAAAAAAAAAGATATTGTTAAGACGGATAAATCCAGTGTAATCTCACATCTAGGGAGGGTGGTATGTATGCAATCTTACCCCTATGTGAAGGTACATATGTTGTTTCGGATTGGGATATTTCTCGGGTCATTTAGAGTTGTACAGTTTAACTTCTATTTAGAAAGCGATGTTTATCATATTGATTTTACTGTTAAAAGAAAGGACCTTGGAGTTTTCTTGGAGAAAGCTTCTCTTCTTGCATTCAGCTTTGTATTCATTCATACATATTTGGTATGAATAATTGAGTTGAAAATCAGGATTGTACTTGTCATCACTACTTACTGCAAAATGTTTGTTCGAAATAATGTACTCGATTATTGAAGTACCTATTTACTAAATTTGTGATGGAAGATATTGCTGAGGTTATACGTTAAATACATTCTGTTATGGCAAAAGAACTCTTCCTTTTGATTTTTCATCTTAAATTTATTGCTTCTTCTACTACTGATTTTGAACTACTAATAAATATGGATATGATCTTAACATAGAAAATGAAGTACGGTGCGCTTCCGCTATGCACGAGGTCTAGACGAATCACATATGGTTTATAAAATCATTAAATTCAAATTTCTAAATCCACCTAGTCGGTAAGTACTTAGTTGTATGTGTTACACATTATTGACTCATAGAATTGAACATGCACATACTGAGTTGCATAAAGTCCGCACTATGGAAAGAAAAGAACAATCATTGGAAGTAAAAAAACTACTTTCTTAGTTCTAAAATGAAGGAAATAGTTGAAATCTATGTTGCTTGGATTCTTTAAAAATGATCGGATTCGACAGACACAATTGACATTTTTGAAGAGTTTGAGTAACATAGGTTGAAACTTACGTGGCATACTTTTGATCTATATATTAAGATAAACTATATATGATAACAAAGCAAGGCAATATAGCCCTTGGATTCAAAATATTTACTTCTCCCTTGTTATCTTCTTTGTATTTTGCAATCACTCTTGAAATTATAATAGCTTTCTTTGAAACTCCATCTCCAAATTGCTTCATAATTTTTCTATGTGCACTCCAACAACTAGTAGAAAATGATTCAATCCAGTTAATTTTCTCATGAATTCCATAGTTTTGGCCTATGATTTTGCATACACCACATGTTTTCTTGCTACAAATTCTTGTTGACTTGTCAAGGCCTAACGAACAAGTAACCGTTGCACCATGGTAGAAAACTCTCTATACTCTTTTTTTATTAGAACTTCTCGCGGATCTTGAATTCATCGATATCTTCTTGCATTCTTCAAAATTTCCAATAACCTTTTCACTATGGTTCACTTTCAAAATTTTCTCAATTTTGTATCCTATTCCATGCTTCCATTAGAATCAAAAAATATCTTCCACTATGATTTTTAAAGGATTTCCTTCAACAATATCGTCTAACAGCTTAAGTGGTTTATGCACATTAAATCTTGGAGAGTCACAAATGTTGGTTCAAGAATTAAACACCAATCTTTTTCTTGATTTTGATATCCCTTTGTCTTCAAGTGGATTTTTTTCTTTCTTTGGAGAATTAGTTGAACTTGGCTTTGGCTTGAAGCATCTAATAGTAGTACTTGGATGACAAACAAGAATTGCTAGAGATGTTTCTTGTTAGAGATGTCATTAAGAGACATTTTTCAGCCATATTTTTTACGTCTCTTTTTGGTATTGGGAATGATGCCAATGTATACAAAAAAAATTCAAAACGGCTAAGAAAATCTCCATATTAATGATCAAAATCAAGAAAAATACTCAATGTGATATTATTTTTAGTACTTTATAATATGGAGATTTCAGAACTTATGAGGTGTAAATTAAGTTCAATTATGATGATTTTTATAGCCATTTGGATAACCTAACATATTCTACAAAAGGAAATTTATGGATTCGAATCCAAATCTTAGGGATTTTAATGAGTTAGATTTATTCCGATTAGTACAATTAATTAAATCTTTTTTTATGTACCAATTTTTTTAAAAAATATATAAATATAAAGATCACCCCCAAATTATCTAACCAAAGTAAAAAATAAATAAAAAGCGGAATATCTAATCCATTATGTTTTCAATTAGTTATCATGCATCTAGTTAATTCGATCCGATAATGTGCGATCTATCAAATTATATATCATGATTTTATTTTGTACGACCCTTGGAAAACATTAATTATACAAGATTTCTTACTATTTTATCTTTCATTGGTATTTGAACAATCATAACATCACTCCATGATTGAGGTATTTGTACTCTTAAAAAACAATTATTACTAGAGCTAACAATTTCAGTCAACATTTATGAGATCAGTCATTTTGCTCATATTTCAATCAGTTGGATCACATATATTTCAATTTGATAAATATGAGTTTATCAATTCATTGTTAATCTATAAAAATATAGACAAATATGAATATTCATATTATGCCGTGACAAGTCAACTCAATATAAATCTACGAGAAGAAATCAAAGACACACATTTTAATTAATTGAAGGCTAAATATGTTGAGTCATTTAGTCATTTTTTTCCATTGTTTTTGTTTACTTTTTTTTTCGTTCTCCTGCTACATCATTAAATTGAAGTTTTTTTTTTGTTGGTTTTACTTCCTCCTAGATCTTATTTGTAGATTTTTTATTTGTAAGCAAAATATTTTTTTTGTGAATCGGACAATAGTAGTATGTTGTATTATATTCTCTTTGGTGTAGATAAATTTTGATACGAAAAATCTCAAATAATAAAAAGGCAACTCAATACACTAAGCTCTTGCCACTACTAAAAACCTAAAAAAAATGACCTCAAAAGAGGTCGAAAAACCCAGATCTCGCAAGGTCAGAATTTATAAAAAAAAATAAAAGAAAAAGAAGTATACCTCCGAAGGTTGTTTTTTAAGTACAAATAATCAGAAATATGCTAACCAACCTTTGTAGGTCGATTTATTAACGCCAAAAAATGAAAAAATGCAAATCAACCATGGAAAATTATTTTCTAAAAGGTAAAATAAAATATCAAAACCGATCACCTGAGATTGATTTTGTTAGATAAAATAATTTATTTATTTGCAAAAGATCGACCTCAGAAGGTTGATTTTTTTTTTGTTTTTGCGAACGTGCTTTGGGTGTTGTTCAGAAAGGGAAAACTCAAGTCTTGAATTGACTATTTGATTGAATTGAGGCAAGTGATCTCCTAAATCTTGTAAATCTAGTAGAATCGTGTATTTCCCTTCATTATGTGTGTTGGGGAGTAATGAGAATGAGGTGATGGGTTCATTGTTCCATTTGATTAACCTTAATGAATAAAAAGAGAATTATTGAAAAGGCAACGTGTTGATCATAATGCTTGTGAATTGCCTTGTTATGAAACTTATTTAATTGGTTGATGAAATGCTTTGATGACATTAATGTGGATTTGAATCGCTTGAACTATTGTCTCTTCTTTATGGTGTGAAATTGCTTATGTGCATTAATGTTACTGTGTACTGTGATGAGACATGTGATATTATGTCGAAGGAAAATAATTTCGGCAAGTTACATGATATAAAGCCGAAGGGAAATGGTTCCGGCTAGTGATGTGATATAAAGTCAAAGGAAAATGGTTCCGACTAGAGATATGATACAAAGTCGAAGGGAAATGGTTCCGGCTAGTGATATTGTGCCGAAGGGAAATGGTTCTGATAAGTAATGTGACATAAAGCCGAAGGAAAATGGTTCCAACTAGTGATATGATATAAAACCGAAGGGGAATGGTTCCAGCTAGTGGTATTGTGCCGAAGGAAAATGGTTCTAGCAAGAGTTTACTATTGTGACTTGATACATTTTGATACTTGTGATTGATCTACATGTCACTTGTGATTGATCTACTTTCTACTTGTGATTGATCTACTTGTTACTTGTAATTGACATACTTGATACATGTTGGTTGTTGAGTTGTGACTATTTTATGTGGTTAAGCCTAGTGAACTGTGTATTGTGAAACTGTTAGGTTGGGCTAATTTCTATGTAGGTTGTAGTTTGAGAAGGTTTGGTTGGGATGAAAAGAGTATTCAATTTCTAGATAGTTTGTCTTGTTTATTTGGTTACTTGTTGAGTACCGTATTGGTTGGTACTCACTCCTTGCTTCTATACTTGTGTAGGTTACGAGCCCCGTACCGTGTAATTGCTCTTCTTTTTTCTCCTAATTCTGAGGCTTGTCAAATGACTGTTGAGAGGTAGTTGTTTGTCATCCCGATTGGCCTTCTTGTTCCTTAGTTTGTTCTCTTTGAGCAACAAAGACATTGAGACTTGTAATTATCTTTCATTTCCGCACTTTATGTATTAGTGACTTGAACACTTGACAACCAGGTTTTGGGGGTATATTAGAATGATTAAGTTTTCTGCTTTTATCTTGTTCTTGTTTCTTTTTCCGCATTTCTTTCGTTTCGTTGGGTTGAGGCTGACTTGTCTTTGCGGGAATAGACAAGTGTCATCACGTCTATTTTTGGATAGTGACATACGCAAAGGGGTAGAGGTTGGCCACAAAACTATTAGGGAGAACTGGTTAGACAAGACTTCATATTACCGAGGACATGACTTTAGATAAGAAGGAGTGGAGGTCGCATATTAGGTTAGAAGGTTAGTAGAGGTAGAGTGTGGTCTTGCCTTTTTTTTAATTATTATTTATCGACATATGTTGTATAGTGTGTTTAGATTATCACTTTATTTTTGTGCTAGTATTGTTCTATCTTGTAGGACTAAACTGTTTTTTGTGTGAACTGTTATGCTTTCTTTATTGTGTTCTTCTTCTCTTACTTGAGATTGATGCACTTAAGCCGAGGGTCTTCCTAAAACAACTTCTATACCTCCATGAGGTAATGATAGATTTTGCATACACTCTACCTTCTCCAACCTTCACTTAATGAAATTTCACTAAATATATTGTTATCGTTATTGTAAGTGTCATTATTATTATTATTAAAATTATATATGATACTTATTGCGAAATATTCTTCAGAGTTGAGTCCAATTAATTTATAAATAAAATTTATATACTCAATTAATATACTTTGTTCATGTTCTCTCCCATGTTTCTCAAGTCATTATCATTACACATTTCCACAAATTATTTATTTGATGTACATATATTTTTTTTATCGTGAATTTGAATACAAAATATTCAAAAAAAATTAAATAAATTTATATATGTAAAAACTATTGTATA